CTTTCTTGTTTCTTGTCTTTAAAGAATTCTCTTATCTGCAATTGCTAAGTTACATAGAGCAACAATGTATCAGATTACAGATAAGGAAATATGACTGGCATCTGAAAAAAGAACACTTGGTAACATGCAATCCCTACTCGAAAGCTTTTTTAAAAGTTGGATGAAATGATAATGGCTGCGGAAAATATTCAGATGCAAGTAAATGCAGATAAATCAGATTCACAAAAGGAATGTGGTCTGAAAGTAATATATTTGTTGGAAAGAAATATTTTTTGAACTAGTGACTTATTGGGCATTAGCATAGGAAGCATAGGGTGAGGATGGAATGGGGGGGAGGTGGAATCAATTATTACTCAATCAACCACCTCCATATGGACCTTACAGACTTAGAACTAACTGAATTGACTGCACAAGCCTCCCTAAAGTTCAACAGCAGAAAACTGATTGAGTGGGTAAGAGATAAATGGGTCTTCCTTAAGAGGATTGAAGAAGATTTCTCACACTTAGATTAAGTGGATTTATCACACTTAACTGGAAACCAATTTCATTTAGATTTTTGGGGGAAAATAGATCAACTTCGGAGATTGGACATTATATTTAACCATACAATTGTTGTTAAGAGATGGTATTAAGAAGCAAACATGGATATTTGATACAGGATGAATCAATGTTAACTCTTGGGATGATTTGGGATATATAAGAAACAGTGGTAAATTTTCTATGAGTTAATTACAATAACAGTTTGTTAATAGAGGGTTTTGAAACTTCAATCTTGCCTTTTTAATATTATTATTCTTGTAGGAGGTGACCAGATTCACCCATAATACATCTAAGTCCAGGCCACCTTGAATTCCATTGACTTTTATCTACTGCTAATTTGCCTTCACCATTAGTAGTTCAGATTCATGTAGAAAACATAAGCTTGCAATAAATCTTTATATTCATTTGAATTGCCTGGACTTCTGATTTTCTGTGTTTGACATTAATTTGAACTACTCCCTTCTTCACCATTCTTTTTCATGGACTCTGGATTACCCAAGTCATGGCTTCAGACCCCAGAGCTGTAGCAACAGTGGACAAACCAGATGTACACTCTCTCAACAGGTGCCAAGATGGCATGAAAGACTAAATATGGAATTTAGCAGCCAGTTTTCACCAACTGATTCAGCAAGTACACATCCTGACTCAATAACCACAACCACCTGCCTCACCTGCTCAGGCACAACTGTTGGTTCCCGTTGCCCTTATCTTCAAGACTCCCAGCTGCCTACCATAGTGATTCAACAGCGAGTGTGATAAGATGAGAATATTCCTAACCGAGTATGAAGTATTCATCGGCACCCAACCAGAGGCGTTTATGACAGACAGATCAAGAGTCACCATAATCCTCAGTCTTTGAATTGACTCTAGTGCTAGGTATGCACATCCACTCATTGAAAGCAATGATCCATCATAGATAACTTGCCAAACTTCCTCACCAGATTTAGAGAGCACTTTGGATGATACGTTTATATATGTTAAGGTTTTTTTAATACACTCTTTAAATGTATTGTTTCTTCTATGCTTTTTCTTTATTTCTTAAAAAAAAATTTTAGAATTTTGTATTTTAACTTTTCTTGAATAAAATAAAAATAGACTAAAAATATTTCTTTTCTTTGTCCTTTTTTAAGGATCAATTTCAAGGATTCACCTCTCATTTTAGTATTTTGGGAAAGGGACAATAGTTTCTCTTTGTCTGCTTTATCAGGAATAATTTTGTATATCTCAGTCATTTTCCTCTCATTTCCCTCAAATGTGAGAATTTCCTTATAGGGAAGTGCACCAGCCCCTTATTATCTTAGCTGCCATCCTCCAGCTTCAGTTCTACTATATACTTTTTGAGATGCATTGACCAACACTTCACATAACATTCCAGATGCGATTGCATCACTGATTTGTATACAGGTGGTTCTTGAGTTATGATAACTCATTCAGCAACTATTCAAACTAGCAATGGCACTAAACAAGAGGGACCTATAATGGAATTTGGGCCATTGCAGTGTTCCTGCAGCCATTTGATTATAATGTAAGTGCTTAGTGTCCAGCAAACTATTATGTTGTTGCAATGAGCATGGTCACATGATAATGATGTTCTGTGTTCTCTGCCAGCTTCCCACAAGCAAAGCAGGAAGTCAGAGACACAGAAGCCAAAGTCACATGAAGACTTCCTTTAATGAACCATGTTGTCATTGTTTAATTGGGACTGCTGGAACTGCCATCACTAAGTGATGTGATCATGTGATAATGTACTTTATGACCACCTCACTAAACAATGGCAATTCCTGCCCCAATTGCCATTGTAACCCAAGAAATATCTATAGTGGCATTCTATTAGCATCTCTATTTTTAATTTTTTTCTTATTACCTCTAACATGCTATTGGCCTTTTTAAAATACAGATGCACATCGTGTCAACAAAGTTATTGAACTATTTATCATTAAACCAAGATATAGTTCCTTATCAGTCACTGCTAGTTCTAATCTCACTAGTGTGTATCAGTAATTAAGATTTTAGCCTCAATGGGTTTCACTTTATACTTGCTCATATTGAATGATATTTCCCATTCTGACACCCACTCCATTAATGTAAGACATTTTGAAAATCTGAGTAAATGATGGGTTTGGCTCACCCACATCCATATATGTATTAATATCCCAAAAAACCTGAGTAGGCTAGAGTAGATAGAACCTTCGCTTAGTTAAGTCACATTCAATATCCTTGAGAAAAGCCTGTGATTTCAAATGTTAAGTTTAATCTTTATTAGAAGTTTTCACTATTTCCCTGGAATATATGTTAAACTGACAGGCCTGTAATTTCTTGGATCATTTCATAAATCATTCATAAAAGTTGGAATTACATTGCCAACTCCAGCCCTCAACTACAAAGACTAATATAAAAACAAGTTCCATATTTAGTTAGGTCATCTGCAGCTCGGTAAAATGAGGACCCAGATTGTTGGGGGCAATATGCTAACTCTGTAAATTGCTTAGAGAGGGCTGCAGAGCAATGTGAAGCAGTATATAAGTCTAAGTGCTAGTGCTAAGAGGGGGAATATAAAAGTTAAAAAGCAAAATCTCCACCTGTTTGGATGAAAACAAGGCAGCAACAAGCAATGGCTGTAGAGAAGGCAATGAATCACATTTGAATTGCAAAGCTGTGCTAACTAGAGTCACAATACAACCTTTAGATCTCCCACTTGCCTTGCTTGGGATAGCCAAGATCGATTTAACCCAGTAACCATCTAGCTCCACCTCTGAAGAAACCCAGGTTTTCTGTAGGAAAAGGACATCAAAGTGTGATATATAGTAAAAAAAAAAGTTGGTCTTGTTGATATTTCAGATTAGAAGTGAAAGAGGATAGTCATTTGAGGGATGTCAGGAGATATGATTTTGACAAGAGGAAGCTATGAGGTTATTATGTTAGGAGAGGAGACCATTATCAGCAATTATAGCCTCCTCTAAAGGGTAGTTTGTCTCATATAAGTCCTGCATCAGCTCCTGGGGGTCTTGTTCAGAATGGATGACATTGACACCATTTAATGATGCTTGCCTTATGGGACCTCCTCCAGAGGCGTTGGGCAAAGAGACGTTAGGTCATGTTGCATTCCACTCTGTGCCATTGGTGTTGGCAAGAGTAGCCTGTCCATCCCCTGATTTGTTGCTAGAGGCCCTATGGAATATTCTCAGGTAGGTAATAACTCCTCCTCAATTGTTGCTGCTACTAATACTATTTTATTAGTTTTTGAAGACATAATAGAATTGACAACTAAGTTTACAAAGCAAATATATACATTTACAATTAGGACTACTGTGAAAAAAATGAGACTGCTTTTAAAAAAGTAATTAAAAATATTCAGAGCAAAAAAGACAAACATTTCTAAACAGAAACAGAAAGGGGAAAAAATAATAAAAACCAAAAGAAACAACCGGCCCCCAAAGAAAAATTTAGTAACGATGCAAAGCATTTTGCTTTTCATGATTTCTTAATATTTTTCTCTGTCAGAACCTACTTTTTATATGTTTATAGATCATTGCTATTCAGCTCTTAGACAACACATGAAACCTAAACAATAGAGAGCCAGTTTGGTCTACTGGTTAAGACATCAGGCTAGAAAACAGGAGATTGAGAATTCAAGTCCTACTTTAGCAATGACATTCATCTGGTTGACTTTAGGCTAATCACCAGGAGACTGTGAATTGTAGTCCTGCCTTATGCATGAAAACCAGCTGGGGTGACTTTGGGCCAGTCTCTCTTCTTAGCCCAAAGAGCTTTGGGGGAAAAAATGTAGGAAAGTGTGTTGGGTATGTTCACTGCTTTAAGTTACGTGTAAAAGTAATAAAGGCAGAATACAAATTAATAATAATAATAATAATAATAATAATAATAATAATAATAATAATAATAATAATATAATATAATATAATATAATATAATATAATATAATATAATATAATATAATATAATATAATATAATTAATATAATATAATATAATATAATATAATATAATATAATATAATATAATATAATATAATATAATATAATATAATATAATATAATAATATAATATAATATAATATAATATAATATAATATAATAATATAATATAATATAATATAATATAATATAATATAATATAATATAATATAATATAATAAATATAATATAATATAATATAATATAATATAATATAATATAATATAATATAATATAATATAATATAATATAATATAATATAATATAATATAATATAATATAATATAATATAATATAATATAATTAATACAATACAATACCATACCATACCATACCATACCATACCATACCATACCATACCATACCATACCATATCATATCATATATATAATATGGAATCAGATTGTCAGAGTTTACCTGTCTGTCAAAGTAAAGCCATTTAAAGGTTGGGAAAAACAGCTTGTTACAACTTTTTTTTTTTGCCAGATCAAGATAACACAGTACAGGTCTTGTAAGGCATGGGAGGGGTGGTAAGTCCAAGAGCAGGAGTCAGATCCAGGTCATCTTTAGATGTTCCTGGGGGTGGCTGGAAGGTAAATCTCTGAAGGAAGCTGGTAAAGAAGAGGAAGAGCTCCATTTTGGCAAGGTTCTCACCAGCACATATTCTTTGACCTGGAAGAAAGCATATGTGGCAAAAAAGGTGGGGTTATTGGGTTCTTAAACTATTTTATATGGCTTTTCATAGTTGAGTTGCCTCAAAGGAATAATTATAATCTTAAATAAATAATGAACCTTCCTAACTATCCTGCTGACTGAAACTCTTTCAAGAATAGTTTTTCATGTATACAGAGTGATGTTACCTGCAGAAAAAGGCATGAATGCATCTTTTTTCACAAATTTTCCTTCAGAGTCAAGAAAATGCTCAGGATAGAATTCATGAGGTTTCTCCCACTGAGATTCATCATGGAGCACAGAAGTCAGCAATGGAGCAATGTGCACGCCCTAAACAAAATACAAGAAGAGTGTTTTCCATTTAACACATTATTGTAGAAATTATTATAATGAAATTTTATGCCATTGTTTTAAAGGTAAATCAGTTGAAAATCTTAGTATAGTTTGAAATAACAATAAAATCTTGTATAAGACATTTATCTTAATAACCAAAATTCTACCCAATAGCGACAGTTTAATTTGTCCGACCTTGCCAAGTCCTTTTTAACCTCATTCCATGTTTTAAAATAGTTTTTCTGAAATAATATGCAATTCGTATTGGTCAGTGTGACCCCTAAATATTTAACCCTTTTCTCTATTTTTTCATCCTTTGGTCTTATATTTTAGTCAACATCTTTCTGTTCTGTTGATTAATTTTAAAGCCAGCTAATATGCCCAAATGTTTCAGTTTCTTCATTATATGTTCTACACCAATCTGGGGTTCCTGTAGTATCAAAACTAGTAAAATGTGCTTTCTGGGATATATAAATAGACTTAATCCCTCTAGGAGAATTATTCCCAAAGGCCATTATCTTCCACAATGCTGAACGTAAAATCCCAGTTCAAATTATGAAAGGCTTTCTCAGCATCCAAAAAGATTAGTGCTACTTGTTTCTCATTTGGTATTAGACATACTCCATTATATTGAAAACAGTTCTCATATTGTTCCTTAATTGTCCTCTAGGTAGAAATCCACATTTATCATCATGAGTAAAATACTGTAAGATCTGAAGTTAAATCTTGTTCTTCCTTTGGTAATAAGGCAAATCCATCAAATTATTTAATGGCAATAAAAGTTGATCTTCAGAACATAAATTGTGATATAAACATGACAGTCCATCTGGCTCTGGTGTCTTGCCTTTTTAAATTTTCTTTATAACTTCCAATATTTTGAAGGTTATTATGGGACTGTTCATTATTTATTTCTGAGTTTATGTGAGTTTTTGTAAATCCTGTAAATCAGGTATTCATCAATATTTTCCAATAGCTCTTCTTGCCTTTCATGTAAGTGTAAATAAAACCATGAAAGGATTTCTTTATACTAACATTATCTATCAATGTTGTATTGTCATCCTGAATCCTTAATATAGTTTTCTTTTCTTGCTGCTTTCTCAATTTATAAGCCAACAATTTCCTGACTTTTTAGGAAAGTCAAAAATTTTCTGCTTTACATATTTTAATTTAGTTTCTATTTCTCTCATAGTTAACATAGATGGTTGTTATAAAAACTTAATTTGATATAAAATAGTGGAGTCTGTTGGGACTTTCTATTACTCATCCTTTTTTAAAAAATTCTTCGAATCTACTGTGCATTTTTTGTGTGTGAATTATAGTGAACAAAATACCCTCAGCTATAGCCTTGCTGGTGTCATAGGTGTTACCTCCGTATTTTTTATCCAAATTATTATCAAAAACCTCATTTAGTTTTTTTTACAGTACTCCACAATCCATTCTTTTTTAAATATTGCTTCAAACAATCTCCATCTAAAACTGCAATGATTATACGCAAGATATTAGATTGTGCTGAGATGAACAAACTTACCTTAGAAATGAAGGACAAAGAAGTTACAGAATTTTATGAGATATGGGACATGTATTATAATTGGTTAGAATTGAGGAATAAAAAAGTATGAGAAGTAATGTAAATAAATGTAAATAACTGTAAGAGATATAGGACATAGTACTGTTAAGAAAAAAGAAAAAATATACTTTGTATTTTGTTGTTTGTAAAGAGAAAAAGGAAAAATTAAAATTATTTTTTTTTAAAGAAATTGGTTTTATTTTAACTGTTCACTGTTGCAGTTAGAAAAGGTCTTTGGTTAAATGTCCACCTAATCTATCTTATCGGCCCTTTGAAATCTATATTACATCAAATCTTGAAAAGGATTTATGTCTTTTTGAAAAAAAGTGTATCCTCTTGAATTTCCATTCTTTTGACTGCAACAGTCTATAGTGCAGGGGTAGTCAACCTTGGCTCTTTTATGACTCGTGGACTTCAACTCCCAGAATTCCTGAGCCAGCTAAGCTGGCTCAAGAATTCTGGGAATTGAAGTCCACGAGTCATAAAAAAGCCAAAATTGACTACCCCTGCAGTGCCAAATTCTCCCATGAATTTTTTTTTAAAAAAAGATAATTTGCCCTGATTAGGTTTAATGCTTTGACAGAGTCCCAAAGGTGCTTTCTTTCGAAAGGCAACTGGACTTTCTTGTTTTGCTAGAAGACATTTTACTTCTCATCCAACAAGCTTCTTCAGTTTTGACTGAATGATGGAGAATGGAAAGAGGCTCAATGACTCTTACAAAGAGAGCTAACAACCACACGACTGCAAGGAAAATAAATCCTTTATGGTTGAAACTTTTTTACAGAAGAGAAATGGCAGTTACACATAATCACTATGTGTAATAGTATAGTATAGTATTAAGTATAATAAATGTATTTAAATACACTATAGTATTATATACTTAAATATACTATGGTATTTATAATATAATAAATACTGTGCATGGAGAAATATACTGGTTCAAAAAAGTTTAAGGAAAAAACAAGCAATAGATTATTAGTTACATTCAGCGTTCAACAGGGCTTAAAGCTGCATTTTACATACAGGAAATCCTTGACTTACAACCAGTCAGTTAGCAGCTGGTTGAGCTTACAACAGACCCTGAAAAACAGTTCAGATTCAAAGCCTCAATGTCCTGCCCCCCCCCATTATTGTCACATACCCATATTTTGGGTACTTGGCAACCAGCCCACATATGACTGCAAAAATTTTATATTTTTGCTAGAAACCAGCATTTACTTCCAGTTTCTGGTCAAAAATGTGCTATAGTGAATACTGGGTTCACTTAATGACTATGGCATTCACTTTATGACCACAATGTTTGCTTAATGACTGCCACAAAAAAGGTCATATAATTAGGTGTGGTCACATGGTGATGTGCTTTACGTCCATCATGACTTATGATTAAAACTGTGGGCTCAATTATGGTCATAAATTGTTTATACTGTACAAAGGAAGATTGGAACATTAACAATGGGATTATTTCACAGCAATCACCTTGGGAATGAAGAAACCTTTGAAAGTTATGTCCTTGGTGGTTGCATGGGGCAAATTGGTTGGAACAATATCAGCAAATCTTTGAACTTCATGAATTACTGCATTGGTGTAAGGCATTTTGACTCGGTCTTCTGTCCTTGGCTCACGAACCCCAATCTCTTTTGCAATTTCTTCTTGGACTTTCCCTGGGAGAATAGAATCACATCAAGACGATTCCATAATTTGAATTTTGTTTCAAATGGGAATTTATGCAAAAATTCTAAAGTACATTTATAGTACAGATCTGAAGATAATAATTTATGATATACAGTATGCTTGTAAATTTTATTTATGTACTTTCCCCCCTTTTATTCACTATATAACTTATTCTATGATTATGTCCATGCAAAAAATGTTGATTAATCACTGATTATTTATAGTTTAAGTCAGGGCTTTTTTTCTCATAGAACGCTCAGAACGGAGTTCCGGCACCTTTTTTGGATGGAACCTTGTAGGGTAGGCAAAGCGGGTTGTGTGTGAGTTCCGGCACCTTTTTTTTTTTTTAAGAAAAAAAGCACTGGTTTAAGTTATAGGAAGTATGAAATGATTAGTGAGATAGAAGAAATCAGTTAAGGGAGGATTGTGCTTGGAATGTATCATTCTTAGCAGAAAACTGTTTTCAGTCTTAGCTCATATTCAGCAGTAATGGGAGGTGATATGTGCATAATGCTGGTGCAGCTTTCAGAAATCTCTGAAAATACACGTGTGAACCCTTCATATGGCAACATCTTATATTCACTCTCACATCACATTAATTCCTTCAAATATAAATAGGTAGGGCAACTTATTCTTGCTTCCTATTCTCCCACCTGCTTATTATTTGTCAAGTAATTATATATTTTTTATTGAAATCCAGTCAAATAAAAACTGCTTACTCTGAACTTCTGGATACTTCATCATTAGGAGTATGGCCCAACACAAAGTGATTGAAGTTGTATCCATGCCAGCAATAAATAGATTATCCACAAGAGCTATAAGGTTATCATTATGGAAATAGCTATTTGTTGACTTCTTATTCTCCTGAGGAGTATAAAGAAACGGTATCAAGGAAATTCAATGTATTTCTATAATCTACATACATGAACAGATGTTCCAGTGGCTTCTAAATTTCCATTGTCAGGAGATTGTCAGAGTTGTAGTTCACAAAAACTGGAGGACAGTGTGTTGCTTATCTGCAACAAATCTTAGCCTTTCCCCCCACTATTGATAATAATCCTATCAAATAATATGTTTATAGTGATTATGAACATGATTAAATCTAAACTCTAGATTTTTGCTTATATAAACAAACTAAAGCAGAATATAGGCATCCTGAATATGTCACACATGTACCTCCTACACTACGCTCCTTCCCAAGCCTCGACTCCCCCTCTCTTGCACCCTTGTGCAGCCCCATGTGCTCCTGAGCATCTTCCCCAAATCATGCCATGCTTTCCCCACAATCCCATGCACATCCTCAGTCTCTCTCCATCTGACAGCAATCATCCCAAGCCATTCTGTGCTTGCAGTGTTCTGCTCCAGCCACCTGTGTACCCCTGCATGTCATCCCATATCTGGTGGCAGATACCTGTCACCTTTTCAGCTGCTTGGAAACCTCCTGGGATGTGCAACTTCCTGCATCTTCTACCCTGACTTTGGCTGTAGGAAGCCATAGGAAGTTTTGAGGAAGTCCTCGCCTAACAACCACTTCAATTCAATTAAAAATGGCAATTGGAACTGCAGGGATATCCATTACCTAGCAATTAGGTTGTGCTTCACAACCATCGCCGAGCAACAGAAATTACAGTCTGAATTGCTGTCATAATTCAAGGACTATCTGTATTGGGTTGCATAAATAGTAGAGTGGCTGGCAAAATAGACTTTAAATTAGAGATTGTAGTTTGAGCTCCTACATGCAGCAAAACTGACCTTTGGTTGTGTTTGTGGCATGCTGACTAAAATGTGCCCAAAGTGGCTGGTTTTGTGCTCTATGATTAGCAGGGAACCTTGAAACTTGTATCCTGCCACAAAGAATTATGTCAAGGCCTTGACTGACAAAATATCCTGATGGATACTAGGGTTTATGAGCCCATCTCTTTATGGCCAGGGCTAAAGAAGACGGTGACTTGTGATAGTGAGAAACATATGGTAAAGACCATGAATTATTGAATGAATTGAAATAAAAAAAAATTAAAATGTTTCCTGTTTTGGAATTTAAGAGAAAATGGAAAAGGAAATTGATGTAAATGAAGATAGCTTGATCTTGTAGATTAGCATTTATCAATATATGCAGGGAAATTAAAATTAGGATTAATTACCACAGAAAGGGCAGAAATATATGTCAGAATACATGAACTCTTTCGCTGGGCCTATGTATGGAAATGCTTATGCTGAGTGACTGTTACACGTTATGTTCCAGTGAATGGTGACAATGGAACAACCAGGAATGAGTTTGGAGAAAAATTGTGATTAACTTCCCCCACCTTTCTCTGCCAGTTCTTCTCAATAAATGACAGGTCAATGCTTTCTTTCATGAAGAGTGATTTTTATTTTAACTAACATGAAGAAGAAAGACTTCAGGTTTCAGAGCTCACCTTCATTTTTCCATGGATTCCCTTAGATTACAGTTTCTAAAAAAGGGAGAATGGCTTTCCTCTTTTCCTGCACTGATCAGTTTTTATATCAATAGGAATAATGCTCAACACATATCCCAACCCGTATCTTAATAATTAATATCCCAATGTTTATACATAAAGATAAAAGGGTTGCTTCCCAAGGGCCCACCTAACCATCTCCCTATCGGAATTATCCCTCCATGAGAGAAGGTAGAAGTGGTTCTACAGATAATCTTCGACTTATGACCAAAATTGGTCATTAAGAAAAGTGATTGATAAGTGAGACCCCCATGCGACTGCTTTGCTCAACTGCTACAATATACCAGTGTTGCTTTTTACAGGGAAAAATTCCAGTTAGAGGTGTACAAGCATTGTAGTAGTTTTAATAGGTATGCAAGGAATAAAGACATCACAAGAACAGTGAATTGGTTGGCCAGCAAGGGTGCTGCAAGAAGACTTGCTGAGAGCCACCTATCAGGAATTCAGGAAAATGTGGAGCTGCCAAATAATGGGAAATCTCATATCCTAGTGGGGCTTACAGCCCCTCTTTAATGTTGTTTCACAAAGTTTTAAATCAGTGTTTTAATCAGCCTTGGCTGTTTAATGGTGCCCATGCTGGTGTAGGTTATTAATGTTTATTATTTTTGTTTCAATTCATACTCCCCACAGTATCTGAGAATGAGAAGATTACACGAAGTCCAAACTATACTCACATATCCATTCCTTGCTTTCACTCCTAGAAATAGTTTTCCTGGACATTTCTAAAGCAAGGATTTTCACCAGCCGCAAATCTTCTGGCACCAGCCAGAATATATTTAAAACATATGAAAGAAATAAAATCACCTATAATTCCTGGCATACTTAAAATGCTTTATTACCTCTTTCTGACGAACAAGAAATGCATCAATAAAACTCCTCTGGTTATTTTCATCCAGCTCTTTGAGATTTTCAAGGAAAGTGGCCCGTATGAAATTGTGGAATTCCTTTCGGTTCTTCATTATTTTCTTACGAGCACCCAAAAGGAATCCCAACTTGGGAAATACATTATACGCCTGAAACAGTATAGAATAATAAGAGAAGTAGCAGATTAAGAGAGCTGAATACTATGAATATATTCTCTGGTAGACATCTCAAAGCATTTTTATCCAAATAGGTTTGTTCCACATTCTACAAAATCATCATCATCATCAACCTCAACAACAACAACAACAAAATACATGAGTACTGGAGCTATGGTTAATGAAAATTTCTAATTCATTAGATCCAAATCTCATGAATTAATCTTTATAAACTGTAGGGATGAAGTTTTTCTTCATATGAAAGATTACATTACCAAAACACCAGGGGTTCCTGCAAGGTGTAAATTTTCTTTGATTAACTCCAGTAGTCTTAGAAGTGTAGCATCTTCATATTCAAATCTCTTGCCAAGTAAAAAAGAAACTATGATATTGGCAGCTGCAGCATTCAGAATTGTTGCCGGGTCAAATGGCTTTCCTAAGTCATGAGCAATAAATTAAAACAGAATTGTGAAAGAATCCCAGTAATAAGTTCACTCTTCATTACCTTAAGATTGAGGATAAGATTGTTTATACATAGCATTTATCATAGTTTGTACTCTGCATAGAAGATAGTAGAAGAATGCAGGTTTATGAGCTAAAATGTATTGACAGTAACACAGAGAATAACTCTGTAACCCATCCTTGTAAGCCGGAAGGAGTTACACATTAATATTATACTAGAGATATGCATCCTTTTGAGTGAGAAGCAGTTACATTTCTGATGACAGGTAAAAAAGAGCAGCAGCATTCTAGTCCCTATGTGGAATGTGGAATGGAAGAACAGCTAAGGACAGATCATGTTACTGGCAGCATGAAGAATAAAATGAGTAACCCCAAACTTTTAACACATAGATCTAAGGCAGTGGTTCTCAACCTTTTTAATGCCACGACCCCAACCGGTCGTAAGTCAAGGACTAAACCGGTCGTAAGTCGAGGACTAAACCGGTCGTAAGTCGAGGACTACCCAACCGGTCGTAAGTCGAGGACTTTCCCTGCCCGGGAGCACCGCGCATGCGTGGTTCCGCCTCCTGCGCCGGCTGAGGTGTAGCTGGCAAGCGGCAGAGACGGAGCAGGCCGACCACCAGCTGGCCCAGCCCAAGGGAGGTAACGCACCCGCCAGAAAAGGGGAAAAAAATGGCGGGCAAAAAAAATGGCGGACAAAAAAAATGGCGGACAGCCTTGCTTGGTGACCCCCATGAAATGGTCGATCGACCCCAAATGGGGTCCCGACCCACAGGTTGAAAACCACTGATCTAAGGCTTCAGAGCACAGTTACTCTCTCTATAGTGAAGGGCAGAGTCCCAGCTCTTCCCATCAGAGAGGAAGCGTTCTCACTTTTATCTACAGTTTGTTTCTGCTGTTATTCAAAATGAACCCATTCCTTGCAAAGTTTGAAATTGTTACAATAAGATGGTTTAAGGACCTAACTTCCCACCCATGATTGCAGAAGTGAGTTAACAGAGTCATGTAATCTAGGACAGAGAGTGTCAGACCATGAAGATAAGTTGAAATTGTCAAAAGAGCTAATATATACTAGTCTTATAAAGGATGTACATGTATTTTGTTATGTAAACTTCGATACATTTTCCAGAAGATTTTACATCCACTATTTTGTTACATTTTCTTAATGCAGATTCTACTACCTAATTCCTAAAACAGATGATGATCATGGCCAATGTATTTCCAAACACACATATGGAAATATTGCTGGAATCCAGAAAGGTTTTGTCAAGTTTAATTCATCCTGATGATTTAATATTTATTAATTGCAAACAATGAATTGTTAATGTGAAAATAAATGTAGTATTAAGGTGGAAGCTACCATAATAATTTCATTAAATACAGAGAAAGAAGTTGATAGTTTTTATTAGCCATATTCATTCCTCCTTCTTTCAAAATTTAGTATGTCTAACACGTTGGATCATAATAAGAATTTATATATCGGTGATAGTTGCATATTATGTTCCATGTATTGAAGATAATAGAATTCTGAGCCAGAATTAAGAGGAAATTACGCAATTATCTCAATATATCTTGTGGTGATAGGGAGAATGTTAAAGGACAGGAATGCCTGGGTGGGAATGAATGAGAGGGTACAGGAAATTGAATCACTTAGACAGCCAACAATTGGGTGAATGGTGTTGATTTAGTGCTTAGGTTTTTAACTTATTAATTTATTCTACTTAATTAGATAACATGAATATCACTGACCCAGAGCCTGGAGGAATAGTAAGTCCAATTCCTAACACCTTTTCATATACAGAAGTAGTGCTCATATTGGAAAAAATTTATCCTTCTATAATTTTCAATAGCTAATTTAGTGTAACAATTTGTCATAAATCACACTTCTTGGCAATTTTTCTGAAAAGGTTCCTCTAGATATTCTATACACAGATTGTTCTGAAAGATAATTGGTAAGTTTGTAGGAGGGAATACCAACTCACCTTCATAAGTCTCAAATGTTTTTGTCAAGACACTGCACTCTTCACTTATTTTGTCTTCAATAATCCTTTTGCCCATTCCATAATCCCGTAATGCAGATATTGAAAACCGCCGCATCACTCTCCAGTTCTCACCATGAGCAAGAATAACACCTGGAGAGGTAAATAAGAGGTTAAATGGGAAATAAGTTGAAGTTGAAGATCAGTTTGAACCAGGAAAATTCCACCATTATAATGCATATGATTGAAGAGTATAAAAAAATGAAGGGTATGGAAAGCATTTATTTACTTCCAGCATAGCAAATGCAGTGTTCATGCTCTTATCAGATGGTTGCTTAAGTGTGAAGTTTAAAGTTTAAGCTGCCTATGATGAGTAAAGATTGCAGTCCAGCATGTAAAAATACCTTGGTGTCTCTTGCAAGGAGAAATAGGAGATAATCCAAATGGAGAAACACCCCCCCCCCCATTTCTTTCCTTAGACATTGGACCAGCTAATTCCAACATAGTGACTTGGCTGTGCAAATGCTCAGGTACCATAATTTGGGGCAACTAAAGAACAATGCATGCACAAAACAATGGGGTTTCCTGCACCCCAAATTTGCAAACAAGTAAAACAAACATGTTCAAGGGTTGGATTCTTACTGTTAATAGAATTATTCCTTACAGAGTTACCCTGTGGTAAGATGGGTGGCCATTAAATTTAATAAATAAAAATTGCCATATCTTTTGTTCTCTAGATGCCTCTGTTGGCACTGAGGGATTAAGTCAAGTCAATCTGTTGTGATTTCCAGAAGCTGTCCAAGTTCTCTGATGTGTACATCTCTATGAAAACTTCAGGTGCAACATTCTACATGTAATCCTTTTTTATCAACTGTAAATAGTTCTGGTGAAAAGATTGCTATAAGGCATGGTTGCTAAACAAACCAGGTGAAACACAGGGAGGGAGAGGGAGAGGGGGAGAGAGAGAGAGAGAGAGAGAGAGAGAGAGAGAGAGAGAGAGCGAGAGCTGCAAAGATCAAACATCACTGGTTGCTGTCATCTCATTTAGATAAAGTTCTCTTGTACAGCAACACCAGCATTACTCTTAGTTCATGCAAGAAATTTGGGTGTAAGTGTGTGCATTGGTTGAAAAATGTTTTTTTACTGCTGTTTACTACCATTTATTACCATTGTATTAGCAAACAGTCGCTATCCAAGTGAGTTGCTAAATGAGAACTACATGTACATAATATTGATTAGAGCTTTGCAAGGAGTGTCAACTATGATCCAGAATGAAATAACTTACCAAAACCCTTTGCATAATCCTCAAAAATGGGAACAGAGGCTCTCTCTGCAAATGCCTCTGCTTGGTTGACCAAAGCCTCTTTCACTGTCTCATAGCCAGTCAGCACCACCATTTCATGGCATCCCATTTGAAGACGGAAAACGGGACCATATACTTTTGACAACTGGAATTCAGCAGATGAAAAATGAAAGACAATTTTGACCAACAATTAGACTCACATAAGGAAAATTCTGTTACAAATCATGTCTCATAAATCCAAGGTTGAAGTGATTTTTTGCTCTTTCTTTTATGTTATAAGTTATTATACTTCTGTTTAACAAGCATGCAAATACTATTGCCCATTGGATACTCAGGTCAGAACTTGGTCAAGGTTTTGAAAATGTTAAAGAAGTTAGCTCTGCAGGAAGAACATTTTCAATAATAATATTTTCTGATATATTCATTTCTATCCCCCCCATGCAGCACTATTCTTGATTTTCCACACACAACACTGCACATTGATCTCTCAGTTGTGCAAAGCACCAACACTTCAAGAAAATGAAACAGTTTTAAGAAATGCCTAGAAAACAAAATGCGAGCAGTTATTCTCAGATCTGTCCTGTGTCTAAATCAGGACAATTTTGGTGTTTGTAATATTTCCTAAAGTGACAGGAAGGGACCGAGACCATTGCCTCCCAAAGCAGGGAAAGCCTGTCTTCCAAGCTACAAACCTGCTTTTCAAGAACTGCATTTTCATTACATTATTAATCATTCATGTTGGATTTGATGTGATATGCTATTTTCCTCAGCTGATGCAGAATCCTCTCTCCTATCTTTCATTGTCACTGAAGGTTGCCAGTGTACTGTTTTAATTCTAGAGGACAGGACACGGTTGGTAGAGGTCTTCCAATCAAAATGGTTTGGAAGAATTAGTTACTTACAACAAAAACAGGGATGCACTTAAAAATTACGTGGAGTACTTTATCAATATATTTGCTTCTGTCTTGATACCTTGTTTACTACTCATTCTCTCCCAGTAATCCTGTTTACAAATGTCTTAATTTCTGCTGTAGGAATGGGAACTTTAAACTAGCTCAAATGTTCAGCAATGAACTGAATATTATCAATGGATGAAGGATTTTTTTTAATGCAGTCTGTAATGACACCGTTTATCACATATTCTCCCATTTAGCAGTCTGAAATATGATAATAATAATAATAATAATAATAATAATAATAATAATAATAATAATAATAATAATAATAATAATAGTAAAGTTGGAAGGGACCTTGGAGGTCATCTAGTCCAACCCCCTGCTCAGGCAGATTTTAATGCAGTCTGTAATGACACCGTTTATCACATATTCTCCCATTTAGCAGTCTGAAATATGATGATGATAATAATAATAATAATAATAATAATAATAATAATAATAATAATAATAATAATAATAATAATAATAAAGTTGGAAGGGACCTTGGAGGTCATCTAGTCCAACCCCCTGCTCAGGCAGATTAATGTACATAATAGGGACAGCCTCATCTGCTTCTATATAAATGTAACAGCTTTAAATTTATTTTATAAACAATATAAAATATCAGACATTAAAAGAATCTAGTGCCAAAACCCTTGCAGTTATTTTAAAAATACTTTATAAAGACATCGGAGGTTTCCATTTTTTAAACAAATATTTCACACACTTTTGTAAAAATTTCAAAACTTTATAACAGGCCACAAATGAATTAGAGCAAATCCTTGGTGGTGATGGTGGGGGGGAAGGGACATTTCTAATCCTTTCATTTTTTGAATCTTGCAGTATTTAAGCTGGGATTAAAATCCTGTAAATAAGGTTCAATATTATGTTTTTCACTCAACTATTTTGGAAAAATTCTCTGGAGCAGGAAATATAGCAGAAGATTTTGAACAATGGCCATTTAACTAAAGAATATATCTTCTTAAAATATGTTAATCTACAAATTATTATATTAATACATATATTAGTGTAACAATATTTACATTTTACTTCCTCTACACAGTCATAGGCAATTTTAACCATCTGTTCCAGTTTGAGATAAACATAGAAAAATGTGCATTCTATTAACTTTTTTTGACTAATCTTTGCAGCATGTATAAACTAATGCAAACACCAAATCAATGTCATTTTTACAGACTTCCATAGACTCCTTAGAACCAGCAAGCAGCATACCGATCTTATTCCAGTTAACTGGATAACCTGGTAAATTGCTAAACTTTTATATCAGCATCAATACACTTTAGCAAAGAACATCCATAATTATTAATCATCAGGTTTACCTTTATCATTGTCTTATAAGGCCTCTTGAAATCCATTATGTGTAGATTTCCCAAAATGGGTAGGGTCCTGGGTCCAGGTGGAAGATTTTGGGAACTGTTACTTTGGGAATTACCCATTTTGAAAAGGAATAAAACTGTAAGAATGAATAGCAATAATAATAAAACAAATCCAATCCAAGCCATTTCCTTTCAGAAGCAGTTTTCAGTAACAATTAAAATGAAATCTGCAAACAGAAATGATACAAACATGTATTTTAAACTATTGCCCTAGGCAGAGCCCAGTGCCTATTTCTACTGAATCTTCAGTCTGCCCCTTACGCCGAATCACTTCCAACCTTGCTTTGGCTACTTCCTATCTAGGAATTGGATCTGTATTTGATTGTTTACCACACACACTGATACTTTCGTGGGTGGTGCCTATCCTTAAATGAAAACATGCAAAACAGGTTTAAACTCATTTGAACTGCACTGTAATCCCATACTTGGAACATCTTTTAATGAATACACACTGGATTACGAAATCCTCTTGCTTATTAACAATATTTCAGATTTCTTAGATGTTTTGCTACGAAGCAAAATCCCAGTATTTGAATTAGTGGCTTATGGGCATTTGCATAGTCATGGCCACTAAAGAGTGGAGATGCATTGTACATCATCATAAATGGCCCCTTTAGAGAATTAAATTCTTCAAGCAATATAACTCCTTGTGTCCACTTTATGTGTATCTTCAGTAACCTTTGGAAAATATTCTAGATGGGGTCAATTATATGGATTGGGTTTGCTTCCCTTGGATTTCTAGAGTTTTTTGAGGACTATAGAATAGAATAAAAGATACATTATTTTCATTTTAAAGCTAATCTGATTGATTGATTAAAGGTAATATTCTGTCTATCAAGAATATGTTTTAGCCATTTTACAGATAAAAACAAATGAAAAGGGAAACACTTTTGCTACTTCGCCTCCCCTCCCCGAACATAAAGAACACTTTGCAATAGTAGTTGAGATTCAAATTTTTTTGGTTGAAAGAGATTATTTTAAACTGATTTCAACAAGGACTGTTTCATGGCTGAACGTCATTAGTTATTATTGATCTATAGATGCAAATTGTGAGAGAGGTTCATCCTTGTTGGTTCTATTTTGTTTCTTAATATATTCAAATATGCTAGGCCAGAATTTTATTTATGTTTATTCATTCATTTATAATTCACTGAACTTCAAAAATACTTTCTGATTGCACTGCGTGACATTTTTTTGTGAGACTTCATTCTTATCTGCAATGAAAGTTTGAATGTAGCCAATTGATGTTAGTGACTGTTCTGCCAACTCAGACTAAAATAGTGAACTGGGAGCTGAATAGTTTAGAAAACCATCCTTTCCTGCTGAGCCCAAATGTGAAGCCTAATAGATGTGATGCAGGAAGCACTGAGGATAACACTCAATGAATGAAACATCATCAAGATTATGATACATTCAGCCAGTATTCTAACTATGCCAATATTTTTGAACTAAATGTGATTATTAATCCTATAAATTAACCAAAAGTGTAGAGTAAAGACATTTACAACTTCAATATAATCTATAATACCTTGTTCCTATCAAAATAGTTATATTTGCAAAATTGTTTATCAATAGATTGTAAAGTCCCATTACATAAGGACATAAACAATATTCTGATGGATTTGAGTCATCTAGTCCAACAGTGTCAGGTCCCTACCATTCTGGAGGGAGGGGGGGAGTACAATTGGGGGTTGAGGATGTTTCTACTTTGTTTTTCCTTTTTGCTCTTTCACTTTGATGTATCTGCATGGGAATTTGGGAGGGGGAAATGAGCTCTGAGGGCCATCTGGTTTGACTCTTTCCAGCTAACTCCTGCCTGCTAACAAGGTCACAGAGCCAGAGAACTTCGGCTCACAGTTCTCACAACAACCTCATGCCAGTGGATTGGCTCCTGATGGATGGGGCTTGGACAATGGGAAATTTAACATTTCATGTGGGAACTTCAGAGTCCACCTGACTTCTCTACAATCACTTTCTCTCAGTAAAAGATCCTTCTGAAATAACGCTTGTTTCAAGAGTCATGCTTTCCTGATGGGATAGCTGATGCAGGACCTTACATTAGGCAGAATTCAAAGTGGTCAATTCAAAGAGGCACCTGCCCTACCATGGGGACTGTGCAAACGATGTCTAACTACAGCAGTGACCAGGAAGAGGCTGAATGCTGGGGAGAATCCTCTGCTAAGGCATACCCCAGCACAAGCTCCAACAGATGGATGGAGGAAGCTTCTAGCCTAGAGACTCATCAAAGCCGAGATGGTCCATTGGTGTGGGGAAGAGAGATGACTGGGAGGGGAGAACCAAAGGAGTCACCTTCATCTGAAGCAGCCCTCAGCATGGATGGAGAGAGGAACTGGAGGCGATGGATGAGGATGAGGAGCAAGGGGAAGTGATATGCAGGTTCTGAGGTTTTGCTTGATAAAGAAATACAGGAAACCAGAAGTTGCCTTCAAGCTTTACGTTTTTATTCAGCTGAATAGAGACGGACTCCTCTAAATAAGAGAAGCCCCGAATGACAAGAAATCCTTGTATTTATTCTTTCTAATTACATAAACAACACATCCAGCAAAGCTGACACACGTAAGATAAAGATTTCATCCCATAAGTCTGGCACACTGTAGATAAGAAGGGAGAAAGCACCCTTTTGGTGTTTCCCTAAAGATATCATATGTTCTCAGGTGGGTTAGGACATTGGGTGTTGTCCTTGCTGTCCTTTCATGACCCTGCATCCAGGACTCTGCAAGTGGCCACCCTATGGAACGAACTACCCCCAGAGATCCGGGTGATTCCGGATCTCCCCTCCTTCCGCCGCGCCC